AAAAGAAGAAGAAGACTGGTATTTTGAATATGGGTAGAATATTCAGAGAAAGGTTGAGGCAACCAGCTGATCTGACCTCCTCATCCAAAGAAGGGGAGAATCAAGAAAGAGAAAAGGACCCTAGTCCTGTAGTTTCTGAAGACGATACTAATTACAACAATGAGTAATATCCTCCTGCTGAGGATAGGTACAAGCATTTGGAAGACCATCTGGGAAATTGGGATTGGTATCGGGAGTGGTCATCCCTCATAAGTTCAAAGCTCCGGTTTTTACCAAGTACGATGGAGTATCCTGTCCAAAACTCCATCTTCATTCGTATGTCAGGAAAATCCAACCCCACACTGCTGATAGAAATTTGTGGGTGCATTTCTTTCAAGATAGTCTGTCAGGGACTCAGCTTGAATGGTTCTACCAGTTGGAGGGAGCCAGTGTCCGAAACTGGGAAGACCTTGCTGCTGCCTTCTACAAGCAGTATCAGCACAATACCGACCTTGCTCCCACTTGTGCTCAACTCCAGAGTATGTCCATGGTTGCAGGTGAAGGTTTTAAAGATTATGCTCAAAAGTGGAGAGACTTGACTGGAAGAGTCCAACCCCCATTGTCTGATAGGGAGTTGGTTGACATGTTTCTAGGGACGCTATCTGGTCCATTTTTCAATCACTTGATCGGCAGCTCGTCATCTAGTTTCACTTAGTTGATTTTGACTGGAGAAAAAGTAGAAGTTGGCATTCAAAGTGGTAAAATACAGAAGGATGCCTCTTCGAGTTCGGTAAAGAAGCCTTTCACTGGGAAGAAGGAAGCTAGTGCAGTCTATAGCTCAAGGGGCCAGAGCAGATCTGAACACCATCAAACGGTAAATGCTGTAGTGATACTAAGACCCACAGTTTCCCCACAACGCAACAATCAACAAAGGGTTAAAAGACCACAATGGAAGTTTACCCGCATCAACATGACTTTGGCTGAATTTCTGCCTTATCTGTTAAAATCCAACTTGGCAACCTTGAGAGAGGCTCCCAAGAATCCAAACACTACTTCTCCCAGATACAATCCCAACGCACGGTGCGCCTACCATTCTGAGAGTCCAGGCCACGATACAACTGATTGCTGGGCTCTGAGAAACAAAGTACAAGATTTTCTTGAAGCCAAGGAGATAGAGTTCGATGCTCCAGAAAAGCCGAATGTTATAACTGCTCCCATCCCCAAACATGGTCGTGGAGTGGATGTTGTTGACACTGATTTGTTTGTGACCTCTGTTGAAGAAATTTCTACTCCTCTTTTGACTATTAAGAAGAATTTGTTGTTGGCCAATTTATTTCCGGGTTGTGGTGAAGGTTGCCGCATGTGTTCGACTCTACCTTCTAGTTGTTGTTTATTAAAGTCAGGTGTCCAGCGCCTGATGGATAATAAAGAAATTTTGTTTGAGAAGACTATGATTCCGTTTGTTCCAAATGAAGATGTTGCCATTATAACCATCTCTGCCAATCCTTCCAAGGTTTCCTCAAGAAAACCTGTTAGGATTACGCATGTTCCAAGAATTGCTCCGCTAATAATCATTGTTCCTGGTCCCATCCTATACACCTCAGATAAGGTTGTCCCTTGGCATTACGGTGCTGACATGTACTATCATGGTATTAAGCAAAATCTGAAGAATGAAGAAGTTGATACTGATGTCAGTAATATTTTCGGGAGTAGTAAAGTTACCCGAAGTGGAAGGGTCTTCTCTCCTGAGATTTCCCCTAAGACTATCATCAAGCCTACTATTATTCCAACTGCTGCTCCAACCAGCACTCCTGACATTTCTCATGTTCCTACTCCAGTTATTACACCTGCTACTATTCCTATTCTTACTCTAGTTATCACCCCTGCTGCTGAGCCATCTGGTACTCGGGGCAAGGAAATTATAGGTGAGCCTGCCCGGACGAAGGCACCTAAGAAGATCGTTGTGGAAGCCTCTAAACAAGAAATAGAGGAAATATTGAAAATTATCAAGAAGAGCGACTATAATGTGGTCGAGCAGCTGGGGTAGACCCCATCAAAGATCTCCATGTTGTCCCTGCTATTGTATTCTGAAGCCCATGCGAAGGCTTTGATTTCATTTCTCAAGACTGCGCATGTGCCGCAGGAAACTTCCACAGATCAGTTCAAAGATTGTGTGGCCAGCCTGACTGCTGACAATGGGCTGGGTTTTTCAGATGCGGATCTGACACCGAAAGGAAGAAGTCATAATGATGCTCTGCATGTCTCGATTGAGTGCAGGGGCACCACTATGGCCCATGTGCTGGTAGATATCGGGTCCTCAGTGAATGTTCTACCAAAGAAAGCGTTAGACTGTCTGGATTGTGAAGGTTTGATTCTAAAACCAAGTAAAATTATGGTAAGGGCTTTTGATGGATAAAAAAGAATGGTGCATGGGGACGTGGACATTCCTGTCAAAGTGGACTCTCAGACCTTTGGGTCCACCTTCTATGTAATGGATATTTGACCATCATATTCTTGCTTACTAGGTCGTCCTTAGATTCATAAGGTTGGGGCAGTTACTTCCACACTCCATCAAATGCTAAAATATTCGGTGAAGGGGAAGATTGTCATGGTGCAAGGTGAAGAAGAGTATATGGTGAGTCATCTCAATTCCTTCCGCTATGTAGAGATGGACGGGAAGTTCATAGAAACTCCTTGTCAAAATTTCGAAGAGGTCCCTCAGTTCTTGGCATCAACTGAAGTTACTACCGGCAAACCTCTGTTGAAGATGGCTTCTCTCAAAGATTCCAGGAATATGGTTGAAGAAGGTGGGTGTACCAATTGGGGTCAGCTCCCTGATTTCACTCACAAAACTGACAAATTTGGTTTGGGCTTTACTACAGGGGCACAAAGGGCTGTTAGGAGCGCACGGATTGGAAGACCTCCTCTGCACATCAGTAATCGGGGAGTTAATGCAATTGAAGACAATGAATAGGATTCAGACATCGATAGCTGGATCTACCCAACAACCAATGGTGGACCGAATAACTGGACGGCGAAGGACTTCATACCTGTTTCTTTTATTCCGCAGTAATTGACTTTTGTTTTAAGATTTATAATAAACAATTTGAAACATTACGGCCCGGTGCCTTGTGTTGTACCCCAAATTTTGACCTAAGATATCATCTCCTATCTGCATCATTTGCATTGCAAGTGTTTTGATCCATTGATTTTAAAATTCATAACTTTTTTCAGGCCGAGAGCTATTTATTTTGAACATTAAATTATTTAATCGACTTGTGCTAAAATAATGTTTATTAATTATTTATTATCTTAAATTTAAATAATTGGAATTTGTTTTCGATTATTATGTAATTTAGAGATGTATAGATAATAAAATAAACATTAGAAAAGAGGCGCATTAATCGTGCAGACAGTATTTATTTATTATGCACTATCTTAAATTTAAATAACTGGAATTTATTTTTAGTTATTACATAATTCAAAGATTCATGAATAATATAATAAATATTCGGAAAAAGTTCATTAATTGATCGATAATAATTATTTAATTATTTATCATTCTAAGTTAAAAATAATTGAAATTCTATTTTAATTATTATAACTTGGAAAGTCATGAATAATGAATTAAATAATTGAAACTATTAATTGATCAATGATATTATTTATTTATCTGTTTATTATTCTGAATTTAGGTAATTGAAATTTATTTTCAATTATTGTACGATTAAAGAATTGTAAACGATAAAATAAATAATTAGAGAAGGAAGAAATTAATTGGCAAATATTGGAATTTTATTCATTTTCTTCTAATTGTACAATTATTGTGTAAATATTGTATTTATTACAACGAATTTACAATAATAATTTTACAAAATTAAAATGAAATAAAAAAACTAATCTAATGTTTTCTAATTCTAAATCTTCTATCCAATGCTTTTTTTGTCTGCTCACTTGATGTTACCTGCAAAAAATTAAAAGAAAAAATTAGATTTGAACAAATAATTAAAAGCAAAAAATCATTTAGCGTTCATCATTAAAAGCAATGGCTGGAATCAGTTTACCCTTTTTTGCAAATCACGGGATTTCTCCCGGTTCACAAAAAAAGAGAGGAATTTTTAAATGAATGCACAATTCATTTTTGTCAAAAATTGCATTTTTCAAATCAATTGCATTTTCAAAAGCCCACTGCATAGTTCAAAACAATAGGCATCAATTCAAATGTTTGACAATAGCATACAAAAAATCAACAGCATATGCACTTTCAAAACAAAATTCCAACGTAAACCTATGCAACAACTTGAGAAGAGTCCAAATAACATAGGCTCCCATGCAAGTCAAAAGAGATGCAGTTTAAACAATTTTGCAAGCAATGTAACATTCCTTTTTTCATCATATTCCAGCCTTTTGCAATTTCAGAACAGCAGTACAAGATATCATTTTTATGTATCAACTTGTACTTGAGAGAGAAGAGAGAAAGAAGTTTGGTTTTGCAGGTTTTGGTTTAAGCATGAAATAGGAATAGAGTCAAACCATATGTAGCAGCATATGTGCAGAGCATCAGGAAAATATAATAAATATATTCAAACCTGAGCCATCAACATGGGAAGCAACGGTTATATGAGAAGACAAAAACCCCTTCAATAGGGGGGAAGGTCATAACCTGCAGAGGGGATTTTCTACACAAGACTATCAAAGCAAAAACCATTTTGCTCCAAGTCTAAAAACAAAACTAGCAAGAACCTGCATTACCAATAACCTACTGCTAAACCAGCATGACCATAAACCAATTTCCATAAAAACCATCACAGATATCAAAACCATATATCAAACAGTACTATCCATAACCATGGCAAAAACCTGCTGATAGCCATTTTCCATAAACCAGCCATCTTCTCCATCCACCACGCACAACTTCATACATATTTTCTTGTGTCTTAACTTTATATTCTTCAAAAACCTCCAACCTGCAAAAAGGAAACATATCATTCTTCACACACTTACTAAGCCAATTCTCATTCATGATACCAAAAGACCCAACCTTTATTTCACATTTTTATGAAATTTTTACAGTAACTCACCATCAACCATCAGCTTTCTTCAGATTTATCACAAAACCTTACCATATTTACAGGTCCAAGAATATCCTGGGTACAAATTCATTGGTCTAACATATGGGCCTGGAGGTGATAATCAAAAGCGATTAGAGAAGGAAATTGGTGCCAAGATAAAAATTCGTGGAACCAAAGCAGACACAGGAGAGAAAAGTGAAATTAAACCAGCTGCTAGTTCCACACCTTCTGTATCTGTCTTTGGGGACAGCACTAATGGTCTAAATCAAAACCAAGATCCCCCATCTCATGCAATTTCTCTATCTCTGTCAAACCGGGCTGTGTTTCAACCAGCAGCCACTACACAAATGCAGAGGACGTAATTCGGGTTCAGAAGGAAAGTTAGAGAAAGACCAAGAACATAGTCAAGGACAATTCAACATACCAGGTTTATGACTCCATTTTATTAATTTCGACGTTATATTTGCTTCAGCTTCACTATAATCCATCATCTTTTGCAATAGGGGGGAATGGTTATTAAGGGTTTCATTTGCTTGCCGCTGCAAAGACGTGTTACTGTTAATTTTGAAAGAGAAAATATACAATAAAAGTAAAAAAAATATGTTTCTTACCTCCAAGCTTCACTGTAATATATGCTTCTCACCATATCCATTTCCCTTGGTCAGCCACCCCTCCTCTTCACCTCCCTCAACTTACGCCGTCCTTCATCTAATCTCCCATTTCAGATCAAAAGTGCCCGTGAATTTCTTCCTTTGCTTTGCCATCTTTATGTTTCCACTTCAAATTTTGTCTCATAATAATATGGCATCATCTGTTAAGAAATCTAAACGTGAGAGTACAAGAAAGCCAAACTTGCTTGAATTTCCAGTAGATTTGACAAAGAACAAACTCCAAACAACTTTCATAACAACATAAAAACTCCCTCCACCTCTTTTCTCTTCCTAACACAAAAAAAAACAAGAAGCAACCCAGTTCAACACACAATAACCTTTCCTTTTCATCACCCTTATTTCCAACAGCATCTAGATTTAGAGCCTGAGCCTGAGCCTGAACCAGAACTAGAAACGGAACCAATTCAACCATCGAAGAAACGTTCACTTCCTCTTCCATCACAATCCCACAAAACCAAAACCCCTTGATCTTCTTCTTCACATAACTACAAGAATGTTTCATGTTATTAACTCGTAGAACTTGAGCTCGAACAAACATTTTACCTTTCTTGTCTTCTCTCTTTTCAACTCATAGAACTTCATCTAAAATTTAACCCCAACCTCAAAATGATGAGCGCTCTAGACTTATACCATATCACTCACTCTCTGCATAAATAACAAACAACACTCTTCTCTATTCAAGAACCACCAATGGATGATGACTCAATGATGACATTAGCAGTGTTATGGTTCGCCTTCATCCTCTTCGTTGTCTTGACATCTGAAAACAACGAACCTCCTCCCATTAACCCACTTGAACAAAAAGCACTCTACAATCTTCTCAATTCCATCGACCCAACCACTCCTTGGACCACCCTCTACCCCCATGATTTCTGCATCTCACCTCCGTCCTTCCTCCATTGCGGCTCCAAATCACACATTGCCCAACTCAACTTCGGTTTCATTTCCGATCAAACTCATCTTCTACCTTGTTCCCCTAACGCTACTCTCCAAGTTCTTCTTCTACTTACAGTAACACACCAATCTCGCATCAACCTACCTTGTTTCATTTACCTGCAAGTGAAAACAGAAAATAACAATTCCACTCAACAATTGCATCGATGTACAATCGCAATAATTCTAACAAGCAGACAAGCTTCAAAGAGCGATAAGCTAATCGCTGCCTTCATCTACACAAAGCACAACACTGATGTGTCCGTAATGATTCAAACATCATACCTCAGCATTTTCTGGCTAAAATTTCTTCGCCGTAGGTAATTTTCCGCTTCCAATTACACTTGTTCAAGACGTTGTTTGTTGTGTTGTTGTTGATTTCTTTCTTTCGGGTCGCATCGGGAGAATCGTTTAGAGAACTGAGAGGAAGAGTTATAGTGTTGTTGCTGTTTATTCGAAGCGAGATTGAGATGTTGAAGCCGTGGACAGAGGGCGAGAGACCGTGAGAGAGTTAGAAGGCGATGGATGTTTTTTGAGAGGTGAGCGTCAACAGAATGAGAGAGAAGGAAGTGTGAGAGTGAAAGAATAAAGGAAGCGTTGATTTGGAAAATAGAAGCAGAGAATAGTGAAAGAGAATGAGCGACCAGTTTTAATTTCTAGGTTTGTTTTAGTTTCAATTCCATTTGGGCCTTTAACCAACCTACTCAAGCCCATTTGAATTTCTATTCACACCCATCTTGTTTATTTAAGCTTTAATAATGTTGTTCTAGGCCTCCCTTAAGCCTTTGGCCCATTCGCTTTGTCCTTATCTTACCCCCCCCCCCCCCCCTTTTGATTCTTGACTTCTATTTGTTTCTTTAGTTTTTTTAGTTAATTAGTAAAACTTAATGGAATAATAGATAATTTAGTGGAAAAAAAAACTTTATTAGTTTAACATTAGGTTTAATCTAGTAATTTTAGTATCTTTTTAGGTTTAGTTAAATAACTTTTAAAAGTTTAATATAGTTTAGATCTATTTAATAAATACTTTATATTAATACTAATACAAAAAACGTAAAAAAAAATAGAAACATATAAAAGCCTTAAAAAATATTTTATTTCTTAATTAATTCTCTTGTTTTGCATACATTAAACAAAAATCCAAAAATGCATATTTACACCATTCAGTCATTTATTTAACTGTTGTTATTTAATCATTATCCGCATAATTTTTCTGTTTAATTATTTCATATTTACTTGGTTATTCTGTTTACGTCTAAATCCAAGGGAATTGTTTAATTTTTGTCGACTTCATGTCATCAAAAAACATTGTGCGAATACCCTCATTTCATCAAAACTTAGGGTAATTTTTCCTCAAATATTCACCCTTTTCAAAAACTTACACCGTTCAAGCCAAAACTTCGACATTAGGTCGTCGTATCTTCAAAAACCCGTCTGTACCTTTTTTTTCGGCCAAAACAATTTATTTTTCAATCAAACGAACAATTTTAATAAAACAGATATTTCAAAAGGTTCCTATAGAGTACTATAGATGCATTGGGTGCTAATACCTTCCCATTGTATAACCAACCCCCGAACCATAAGATCTCTTTTCAAAAACGCTTTGTATTTTCAGTATTATTTACATTGCATATTTAGGGTTTTATTTCGCTCTTTTCCCTTTTCCTTTGGAAACAATAAAGCGCGGTGGCGACTCTTGCTCTTGTGAGACGAATTAATCAATAATTCGATCTCCGGTTTACCCCGCTACATTTTTTATCGCTACAGAATTGGCGACTCTGCTGGGGATAGATTAACCTCTTGTTGGTCCATCCCTAAGTGGGTTAAGCCTAATTTGTCTTATCTGTTTTACTATTTGATTTGCTTGATTATATGTTTAAATTAGGGTGTTTGGGTTTTTGCAAAGGACGAATCCTATACCCGGATTAAGTAACACTTAAGGAATAGGACGGGCGGTATAGTCATGTTAACTTTGAGGGAGTAATCCCGAAGAAGGAGGCATGAGATCCCCCACTCAATGGAAGGCCCTCTTGAACTTAATATTTGTTTACCGAGTAATCGGGAAGACATTGTTATTTTCGACCTAGGAGCCAGAGAAGTTGAGGACCGTAGAACCCTAACCCATCTTGGCCTTTTTAGGTGTAGCGCGGAGACTATGACGGAGTAATTCGGAAGTAGTTGTTACGCGACGCTACGCTTGGACGAGTTTCTCTTGAGAATATTGCTAATTATCGAGTAATTAAGACGTTGGCAATATCCGAAGGAGGAATGTAGACTCTGGGAACTCTTAGAACCTTGTTCTACAGGTGTGATTAAACCCTTAGTACATACCTTGGGGATGTTTTTTACCCTTAACTCCATGTTCGTGACGTTGAACCTTTCGACTTTATTTATGACCTTGCTTGTGGTTGCTGCATAGCCATGCATTCATGCATTCATAAAACTCTTTTCACTTGACTTCGAAGGAATTTGGAGGTTTTTCTTTGTAAACATCACAAGTTTCGTCAAGCTCAATGGATCTTGGGTGTTGATAGGGCGAAAACCCTAATCCACCAAAATGGATGATTGATCTTGACGATAACTTGATCAACGTTTGGAGCCAATTTAAAATTCATCTGTTATCTTCATACTTGGATGTTTATAACTCGATATCTTGAGTTCCTTGAAAGTCAAATAAAATTCTCTTTTGCATATCATACATCATTCTACATTTTCTTTGTCTCACTTTCAAAGGTCTTTTTCCGAGTCTTATCTTTTCCTTTGGTCTCACTAGTACAACACTCGCGCTAAGAGGATAATGGAGAATATCAAGCAAGAGGTTTCTGAACTCCGCAGAGAGGTGACTGTTTTGAAGGCTAGTATGGAGCACTTAGCTGGTTTGGTTGAAGTTCTGGTTGCCGCCCAAGTCAACCCTTCTAGGAGGGAAGAAGCATTGATAAAAGTCTTCACGGAAACTCTAAAATCTTTTTCTCATGAAAAGGTGATGGTTAATGCATCTGATGACTTTCCTGACAAGGGGAATGTGGGAGTGCGTTTAGAAGAAGATGTCGGAAAGGGATGTTTATATGAAGACGGTAGCGCAGCTAATGGTGTGAAGAAGTTTGATAATGACTTTTCCAAGAAGAGAACCAGAGGAAGGAATAATCATCATCAGAATCATCACGTTCATCAACGGAGTCAGCAAGTTCCTAATCAGAGGAAAACCCAGTTTGATTCAATCCTGTTGCAGAGGAATTTGGTTCAGACCCGACCTCCACCGAAGGTTCCTGAGAGGTTACATTGGAATTACAAAGCTGATTTGGCTTGTACTTTTCATCAAGGTGCTCCTGGGCATGACTTGGAGGGTTGCTTTGCTTTGAAGATTGAGGTTCAGAAGTTGGTCAGAAGTGGTATCTTGTCATTCAAGGACGTTGGTTTTGAAGTCCAAATCAAACAGGCGCCGAAGAGTAAGCACGACTGAGGGTGACTTTGAGTTTTTGAAGATGTTTTCGGTAGTTCAAGTGGAAAGCCTTCCCAGATTATTAACTTGTTTCTGCTTTTGTAGCTTTTCTTATCTATCGAAACATTGTTTGCATGAAAGAACTTGTTTGCGTCTGAATGATTACTTTAATACAATGAGTATGTTTGTCTTGAAGAAATTCATTCATTTCACTCATATTTGTTTTCAAATTTTAAATTTCTTTTTGCATTATGATACCAACTTATTGCCCTTTCTCTTGCCTAGGCAGAGATTGAAGGGGGGGATGATGATCTAAAGAACACAAAATCTTTGGTTGCATGCTTTTGAATAAGATCTTGTTGATGATGTACAGGCATTGTTTTAAATCCCTAAACACTGGAGATATAAGGAAGATAATCCCTTGCTAACCCCTTTTTGAGCCTTTGAAGCAGAAGTTCCTTTCTATACGAAAAAACCTTGAATTTTAACCTGGGGCAGGGTAGTTTTCAGTTAATCTGATTGAGTGTTCAAAATTCGTAAGAAAGATGTTACCGTCACAAAATCTTTTGAGAGATGAACACTCATGTTGAATTAGCCGAACATAGAATTGGAGAACATCATGAAGAATGGGTGGGCACCAAATATTTTGAGCCTTAAAATCTTTTCCTAAAAAACCCATGCACCAGACCAAGTTACAACCTTCAAAAGTCCTAATTGAAGCAAGGTTATTTTGAAAGCATACTTCAATGAGATAGTGTTCCTGACTCCCATGAATGTTCTAAATAGTTATGTTGGTATCATATGTTTTTCCTATACAAAAATAAATGGTGCTTTAACTCGCAAAAATTTATGCGATATCTTTTCGAAATCTTCAAGGCTTACATAACCGTTGCATTAGAATTTTCATTCTCATTGTAAACTTTTTCTAACTGCAAAACATTTGTTTGATATCAAGGAAGCTCACATAAACACCAGTGATGAGTTTATTCTTTTAAGGCTTGAAACTCTGTTGAGTAATTGGCGGATCACGTCAAGAAAAACCATATCCAGGGGCATGTCAGTTGAAGACCTTAAGCATGGACATGTTGCTTCTCCCAGTTAATGCTTTCCCGACTTGTTTGCTCGTTTGGGGCAAAAATTCAAAGACTTTGTTGTGCTGACTACAGTCAATCCGGGGCAATCACGTCGAGATTTGATGATTCCCTCTAAGAGTTTGAAGACGCCAGAGCATGGTGAATGCCAGGTCTTTTGTAAACCCTCTTGAGACGTTTTCACCTCATCAACCAGATAACTTGGGGCATTTTTAGAAGTGAAGTTATTCGCAAGAATCGTCGTGCATCATGCAGCTCGTCAGCAGTAACTTGGGGCATCTAATTTGGTCCCAGGGGCAATCTAGACTTGTCAGAATGTGTGTTAGGTATTGCAAACTTTATCAGAGGGTGGTGTTCCCAATATCTCCAGCTAAGCATGACTTTCTCCGGTTGAAGCTTTGTTCGTGTTGTTATCCTTTCAATGGATTGTCGGCGATAGAAGACTGGACTTTGGGTTTTCTACTTGTAAATATCTTCCTCTCCAAGAGATTTAAGCCTTATAAGAGGACTTTACTCCAATGTTGGCGTTTGTTTTCTATCTCCAGTAATGTTCCCCTCCTTTTGAGATTAGCCGAGTGTCGGGTTGTACTGTGATGTCTTATCATCTTCTGTCCATCTCCCCTGTCGGTTTTGTCAGCATATACATGACATTCATTTATTCACTCACACTTGCATCATACACGCACAGTTGTATTTGTTGATGTCATTGAGTTCGTACACCTTGGTTGTGTCTTTTCAAATAACGTATTTGATCTTTCCAAATAGAGTGTCAACTTAAGCATAAAGTGCGCCTCCTTTCTAATTTCCCAACTGAGCTAATCCTCGTGGACGATTTTTGATTTAGCTTACCTTGTCCATTTTGGATAGGATGAATTCCCCAATCGAGTTACTTTCTCATTGGTTAGAGTCTTGTTTGACTGTTTTCTCTCTGGTTATTCCTGGATGAAGTTGTTGCCTCTTGCATAGGCTATCTCATTGATTTTCCCCAGTGAATTTGCGACCTAGACGGTTGGTGTATTTATTTTGCACGTTTAAGTATATGATCTCCTCGGGAAGGATTGATTCAAGGTTCTCTTTGACGAAGATTTTATTCTCTGCCAATATCATCGCAGTTTCCTTCTGAATTATTATTGGAAGACGACAGGCGGCAGCTCTTCATGAGCAACTTGTATGTCATAGACACCGTTGGAAAACGACAAGCGGCAGCTCTTCATGAGCAACTTGTACGTTACTATCTTGTGGAAAGCGCCAAGCAGTAGCTCTTCACGAGCTACTAGTGCGTTATTATCTTTTTGGGAAGCGCCAAACAGCAGCTCTTCATGAGCTACTAGTGCGTCATTCATTTTTTTTGGAAAGCGCCAAGCAGCAACTCTTCACGAGCTACTAGTGCGTCATTCATTTTTTTTGGAAAGCGCCAAGCAGCAGCTCTTCACGAGCTACTAGTGCGTCATTCATTTTTTTTGGAAAGCGCCAAGCAGCAGCTCTTCACGAGCTACTAGTGCGTCATTCATTTTTTGGAAAGCGCCAAGCAGCAGCTCTTCACGAGCTACTAGTGCGTCATTCATTTTTTTGGAAAGCGCCAAGCAGCAGCTCTTCACGAGCTACTAGTGCGTCATTCATTTTTTTGGAAAGCGCCAAACAGCAGTTCTTCACGAGCTACTAGTGCGTTATTATCTTTTTGGGAAGCGCCAAGCAGCAGCTCTTCACGAGCTACTAGTGCGTTATTATCTTTTTGGGAAGCGCCGAGCAGCAGCTCTTCACGAGCTACTAGTGCGTCATTTACTCTTTTGAAAGCAACAAGCAGCAGCTCTTCACGAGTTACTAGTACGTTATTACTTTTCTGGAATACAGCAAACGGCAGCTTCTTTATTTGAGCAGCTTGTATGTCATTGGTATTTTCTTTGGACAACAACAAGTGGCAGCTTCTTTATTTGAGCAACTTGTATGTTATTGACATCTCTGGACGACGGCAAGTGATAGCCTCTTTATTTGAGCAACTCGTATGTTATCGGTATTTTCTTTGGGCGACAGCAAGTGACAGTTTTCTTTATTTGAACAACTTGCGTATCTACAATCTTATTACTTCAGCATTAATTGGTATCTCTCCGAAAATCTCGCAGAGAAATTTGTTATGAATTTTACCTTCAGAAGTCGGTAACCCGTCATCAGCAAATTTGATACTTTTTAGCTATCTTTGACCTCGAGTTGCAAACTCACTGTTTTGGATCAATAATCTGTTATGGCCTATGCAAGATGCTCTCTTTGTTAGGGTCAGAGGTCGTATCCCCTCAATTTTGTTCACTGTCAGGAGTCTGTCGTTTAAAGTCGATAGCTCGTTTCCCCAATAGTGTATAGCCCGTGTCTCTGTGATTTGTTGGTGTTCGATTCCTCCAGCATTGTCTTGTTTCATACAATATCTTTCTCTGTGAATTCAATCACCGCATTCATATCAACTTGATGACGGCATCTTAGGACAAAATTTGCGTAGTTATGTATTTAAGTACCTTCAATCTCGTCGAAACGAAGATTTTTAACCTTCATATCTCCGGATAGAAGAAACTTAAATAGGGGCAGCTGTTGTACCCCAAATTTTGACCTAAGATATCATCTCCTATCTGCATCATTTGCATTGCAAGTGTTTTGATCCATTGATTTTAAAATTCATAACTTTTTTCAGGCCGAGAGCTATTTATTTTGAACATTAAATTATTTAATCGACTCGTGCTAAAATAATGTTTATTAATTATTTATTATCTTAAATTTAAATAATTGGAATTTGTTTTCGATTATTATGTAATTTAGAGATGTATAGATAATAAAATAAACATTAGAAAAGAGGCGCATTAATCGTGCAGACAGTATTTATTTATTATGCACTATCTTAAATTTAAATAACTGGAATTTATTTTTAGTTATTACATAATTCAAAGATTCATGAATAATATAATAAATATTTGGAAAAAGTTCATTAATTGGTCGATAATAATTATTTAATTATTTATCATTCTAAGTTAAAAATAATTGAAATTCTATTTTAATTATTATAACTTGGAAAGTCATGAATAATGAATTAAATAATTGAAACTATTAATTGATCAATGATATTATTTATTTATCTGTTTATTATTCTGAATTTAGGTAATTGAAATTTATTTTCAATTATTGTACGATTAAAGAATTGTAAACGATAAAATAAATAATTAGAGAAGGAAGAAATTAATTGGCAAATATTGGAATTTTATTCATTTTCTTCTAATTGTACAATTATTGTGTAAATATTGTATTTATTACAACGAATTTACAATAATAATTTTACAAAATTAAAATGAAATAAAAAAACTAATCTAATGTTTTCTAATTCTAAATCTTCTATCCAATGCTTTTTTTGTCTGCTCACTTGATGTTACCTGCAAAAAATTAAAAGAAAAAATTAGATTTGAACAAATAATTAAAAGCAAAAAATCATTTAGTGTTCATCATTAAAAGCAATGGCTGGAATCAGTTTACCCTTTTTTGCAAATCACGGGATTTCTCTCGGTTCACAAAAAAAGAGAGGAATTTTTAAATGAATGCACAATTCATTTTTGTCAAAAATTGCATTTTTCAAATCAATTGCATTTTCAAAAGCCCACTGCATAGTTCAAAACAATAGGCATCAATTCAAATGTTTGACAATAGCATACAAAAAATCAACAGCATATGCACTTTCAAAACAAAATTCCAACGTAAACCTATGCAACAACTTGAGAAGAGTCCAAATAACATAGGCTCCCATGCAAGTCAAAAGAGATGCAGTTTAAACAATTTTGCAAGCAATGTAACATTCCTTTTTTCATCATATTCCAGCCTTTTGCAATTTCAGAACAGCAGTACAAGATATCATTTTTATGTATCAACTTGTACTTGAGAGAGAAGAGAGAAAGAAGTTTGGTTTTGCAGGTTTTGGTTTAAGCATGAAATAGGAATAGAGTCAAACCATATGTAGCAGCATATGTGCAGAGCATCAGGAAAATATAATAAATATATTCAAACCTGAGCCATCAACATGGGAAGCAACGGTTATATGAGAAGACAAAAACCCCTTCAATAGGGGGGGAGGTCATAACCTGCAGAGGGGATTTTCTACACAAGACTATCAAAGCAAAAACCATTTTGCTCCAAGTCTAAAAACAAAACTAGCAAGAACCTGCATTACCAATAACCTACTGCTAAACCAGCATGACCATAAACCAATTTCCATAAAAACCATCACAGATATCAAAACCATATATCAAACAGTACTATCCATAACCATGGCAAAAACCTGCTGATAGCCATTTTCCATAAACCAGCCATCTTCTCCATCCACCACGCACAACTTCATACATATTTTCTTGTGTCTTAACTTTATATTCTTCAAAAACCTCCAACCTGCAAAAAGGAAACATATCATTCTTCACACACTTACTAAGCCAATTCTCATTCATGATACCAAAAGACCCAACCTTTATTTCACATTTTTATGAAATTTTTACAGTAACTCACCATCAACCATCAGCTTTCTTCAGATTTATCACAAAACCTTACCATATTTACAGGTCCAAGAATATCCTGGGTACAAATTCATTGGTCTAACATATGGGCCTGGAGGTGATAATCAAAAGCGATTAGAGAAGGAAATTGGTGCCAAGATAAAAATTCGTGGAACCAAAGCAGACACAGGAGAGAAAAGTGAAATTAAACCAGCTGCTAGTTCCACACCTTCTGTATCTGTCTTTGGGGACAACACTAATGGTCTGAATCAAAACCAAGATCCCCCATCTCATGCAATTTCTCTATCTCTGTCAAACCGGGCTGTGTTTCAACCAGCAGCCACTACACAAATGCAGAGGACGTAATTCGGGTTCAGAAGGAAAGTTAGAGAAAGACCAAGAACATAGTCAAGGACAATTCAACATACCAGGTTTATGACTCCATTTTATTAATTTCGACGTTATATTTGCTTCAGCTTCACTATAATCCATCATCTTTTGCAATAGGGGGGAATGGTTATTAAGGGTTTCATTTGCTTGCCGCTGCAAAGACGTGTTACTGTTAATTTTGAAAGAGAAAATATACAATAAAAGTAAAAAAATATGTTTCTTACCTCCAAGCTTCACTGTAATATATGCTTCTCACCATATCCATTTCCCTTGGTCAGCCACCCCTCCTCTTCACCTCCCTCAACTTACGCCGTCCTTCATCTAATCTCCCATTTCAGATCAAAAGTGCCCGTGAATTTCTTCCTTTGCTTTGCCATCTTTATGTTTCCACTTCAAATTTTGTCTCATAATAATATGGCATCATCTGTTAAGAAATCTAAACGTCAGAGTACAAGAAAGCCAAACTTGCTTGAATTTCCAGTAGATTTGACAAAGAACAAACTCCAAACAACTTTCATAACAACATAAAAACTCCCTCCACCTCTTTTCTCTTCCTAACACAAAAAAAAAACAAGAAGCAACCCAGTTCAACACACAATAACCTTTCCTTTTCATCACCCTTATTTCCAACAGCATCTAGATTTAGAGCCTGAGCCTGAGCCTGAACCAGAACTAGAAACGGAACCAATTCAACCATCGAAGAAACGTTCACTTCCTCTTCCATCACAATCCCACAAAACCAAAACCCCTTGATCTTCTTCTTCACATAACTACAAGAATGTCTCATGTTATTAACTCGTAGAACTTGAGCTCGAACAAACATTTTACCTTTCTTGTCTTCTCTCTTTTCAACTCATAGAACTTCATCTAAAATTTCACCCCAACCTCAAAATGATGAGCGCTCTAGACTTATACCATATCACTCACTCTCTGCATAAATAACAAACAACACTCTTCTCTATTAAAGAACCACCAATGGATGATGACTCAATGATGACATTAGCAGTGTTATGGTTCGCCTTCATCCTCTTCGTTGTCTTGACATCTGAAAACAACGAACCTCCTCCCATTAACCCACTTGAACAAAAAGCACTCTACAATCTTCTCAATTCCATCGACCCAACCACTCCTTGGACCACCCTCTACCCCCACGATTTCTGCATCTCACCTCCGTCCTTCCTCCATTGCGGCTCCAAATCACACATTGCCCAACTCAACTTCGGTTTCATTTCCGATCAAACTCATCTTCTACCTTGTTCCCCTAACGCTACTCTCCAAGTTCTTCTTCTACTCACAGTAACACACCAATCTCGCATCAACCTACCTTGTTTCATTTACCTGCAAGTGAAAACAGAAAATAACAATTCCACTCAACAATTGCATCGATGTACAATCGCAATAATTCTAACAAGCAGACAAGCTTCAAAGAGCGATAAGCTAATCGTTGCCTTCATCTACACAAAGCACAACACGGATGTGTCCGTAATGATTCAAACATCATACCTCAGCATTTTCTGGCTAAAATTTCTTCGCCGTAGGTAATTTTCCGCTTCCAATTACACTTGTTCAAGACGTTGTTTGTTGTGTTGTTGTTGATTTCTTTCTTTCGGGTCGCATCGGGAGAATCGTTTAGAGAACTGAGAGGAAGAGTTATAGTGTTGTTGTTGTTTATTCGAAGCGAGATTGAGATGTTGAAGCCGTGGACAGAGGGTGAGAGACCGTGAGAGAGTTAGAAGGCGATGGATGTTTTTTGAGAGGTGAGCGTCAACAGAATGAGAGAGAAGTAAGTGTGAGAGTGAAAGAATAAAGGAAGCGTTGATTTGGAAAATAGAAGCAGAGAATAGTGAAAGAGAATGAGCGACCAGTTTTAATTTCTAGGTTTGTTTTAGTTTCAATTCCATTTGGGCCTTTAACCAACCTACTCAAGCCCATTTGAATTTCTATTCACACCCATCTTGTTTATTTAAGCTTTAATAATGTTGTTCTAGGCCTCCCTTAAGCCTTTGGCCCATTCGCTTTGTCCTTATCTTACCCCCCCCCCCCCCCTTTTGATTCTTGACTTCTATTTGTTTCTTTAGTTTTTTTAGTTAATTAGTAAAACTTAATGGAATAATAGATAATTTAGTGAAAAAAAAACTTTATTAGTTTAACATTAGGTTTAATCTAGTAATTTTAGTATCTTTTTAGGTTTAGTTAAATAACTTTTAAAAGTTTAATATAGTTTAGATCTATTTAATAAATACTTTATATTAATACTAATACAAAAAACGTAAAAAAAATAGAAACATATAAAAGCCTTAAAAAATATTTTATTTCTTAATTAATTCTCTTGTTTTGCATACATTAAACAAAAATCCAAAAATGCATATTTACACCATTCAGTCATTTATTTAACTGTTGTTATTTAATCATTATCCGCATAATTTTTCTGTTTAATTATTTCATATTTACTTGGTTATTCTGTTTACGTCTAAATCCAAGGGAATTGTTTAATTTTTGTCGACTTCATGTCATCAAAAAACATTGTGCGAATACCCTCATTTCATCAAAACTTAGGGTAATTTTTCCTCAAATATTCACCCTTTTCAAAAACTTACACCGTTCAAGCCAAAACTTCGACATTAGGTCGTCGTATCTTCAAAAACCCGTCCGTACCTTTTTTTTCGGCCAAAACAATTTATTTTTCAATCAAACGAACAATTTTAATAAAACAGATATTTCAAAAGGTTCCTATAGAGTACTATAGATGCATTGGGTGCTAATACCTTCCCATTATATAACCAACCCCCGAACCATAAGATCTCTTTTCAAAAATGCTTTGTATTTTCAGTATTATTTACATTGCATATTTAGGGTTTTATTTCGCTCTTTTCCCTTTTCCTTTGGAAACAATAAAGCGCGGTGGCGACTCTTGCTCTTGTGAGAAGAATTAATCAATAATTCGATCTCCGGTTTACCCCGCTACATTTTTTATCGCTACACCTTGCCCGAAGCACTTTGGCTTTACTTGTGAGGGCTATTATTTGTCATTTCATATAGCATTAATAAAGCATTGGACGTTTCTTGCATTACAAATTTTGCGCTCCTTGTTTTTCTTTTCCGTCTCCCACTTTATCAAAACAGCTATTCTCTTACACACACTCACGTATCATACTGCAGATCTATATCCACTATGGATCCCATTGATAACAACTCTGCTACTACCAGTTATGACTTCAAAAATCTAACCAACCAAGCCGAGGACGAAGATGAGGACGATTGTGAGGTGCCTGGAGAACTTGCTAGACTATTACAGCAGGAAGAAAGGGCCATACATCCCCATGAAGAGCCAGTTGAGTCAGTGAATTTGGGTACAGAGGAAGACAGGAAAGAAGTTAAAATAGGTGTGAATCTGGAGCCTAGTGTCAAACAACGGTTAATACAAATGCTACACGACTATGTTGAGATCTTCGCCTGGTCCTATAAAGACATGCCTGGTTTGGACACTGATATTGTGGTATATCGCCTGTCGACCAAAGAAGACTGCCCTTCGGTAAAGCAGAAGGTTCGCCATATGTGCCCCGAAATGTCGGAGAAAATCAAGGCAGAGGTCATGAAACAGTTCAATGCAGGATTTTTAGTTGTCACTTCTTATCCGCAGTGGGTTGCCAACATTGTTCCAGTACCTAAGAAGGACGGTAAGGTACAGATGTGTGTGGACTATAAAGATCTGAACAGGGTAAGCCCCAAGGACGACTTCCCACTTCCTTACATTGATGTTCTAGTCGATAACACCGTGCAACACAAGATCTTCTCCTTCATGGATGGTTTTTCTGGCTACAACCAGATCAAGATGGCTCCTGAGGACATGGAGAAGACTACCTTCGTTACACAGTGGGGCACCTTCTGTTACAAGGTAATTCCTTTTGGGTTGAAGAATGTTGGGGCAACTTATCAGCGCTCCATGGTCGCTTTGTTCCATGATATGATTCATCACGAGATCGAGGTTTATGTTGATGACATGATAGCTAGGTCCCAGAATGAGGAAGAACACCTTGATCATCTCCAGAAACTGTTTGAAAGGTTGAAGACGTACAAGTTGAGGTTGAATCCAAACAAGTGTACCTTTGGGGTAAGGTCGGTAAGCTTCTGGGTTTTGTTGTCAGTGACAAAGGTATTCAGGTAGACCCTACAAAGGTAAAAGCCATACAAGAGATGTTGGTTCCACGCACAGAGAAGGAAGTTAGAGGTTTCTTGGGACGTCTGAATTACATCGCCAGGTTCATTTCACATCTGACTGCTACTTGTGAGCCAATCTTTAAGTTGCTGAAGAAAGATCAAGTGGTAAAGTGGAATGATGAATTCCAGACCGCTTTCGAAAGAATCAAGGAATACCTTTAAGAACCACCAATTTTGATATCTCCAGTTGAAGGAAGACCTTTGATATTATACTTGACAGTGTTAGACAATTCAATAGGGTGTGTGTTGGGGCAGCATGACGAGTCTGGAGCACGCCATTTACTAGCTTAGCAAAAAGTTTACCGACTGTGAGACCCGATACTCATTGCTCGAGAAAACTTGTTGCGCTTTGGCATGGGCTGCTCGCCGACTGAGACAGTATATGCTGACTCACACTACCTTATTGATATCAAAGATGGATCCGATCAAGTATATTTTCGAGAAGTCCGCCTTATCCGGAAGAATAGCAAGATGGGAAATGATCTTAACCGAGTACGACATCCAATACACAACCCAAAAAGCAATCAAGGGGAGTGTATTGGCGGATCATTTGGCACATTAGGCCGTGGATGACTACCAGTCCATGAATTTCGAGTTCCCGGATGAGAATATCATGTTGGTAACCGACTGCAAAGAACCTAGAGCGGATGAAGGACTTGAGGAGGGATCTCGATGGTCTATGTATTTTTATGGAGCCTCAAACACATTGGGTAACAGCATCGGCGCTGTAATCATATCTCCTGAGGGCTGTCATACTC